AACAGAGAATAAGACATTAATATCATGTTAGGCGGAACTTGTATTCTTAAAGGATAGATTAGGAAGAAAACATGTCATATGTAATGACATGTCAGTGCAAAAAAACAAACAAAATGCAAATATTGCTCCAACAATTCTGCAAGGGAAAAAATTACTAAGAAATTCCATTATAAATTGTTTGCTTGTGATTGCAATGCTACACTTCTTTCATGTTCCAAACATAGTGAGAAAATATATTAGCATAAAAAGCCATATATTTCCTAGCTATGACAATATGCTCCAGGTCTGAGGATAGAATTTAATTGTTGCCTAAAGCATTGTGAAATAAATGTCATTTTTTAATTAGATGCAACAAAGTAGAACCCTATTAAATGATTTGTTTACGAGGATTTTGCTTAAATGATTGTCTTATTTTAGCCATGCAGATTTTTCTTCTCAAGCCATTTAATTGGCGAGCAGATCATTTAATATTTCTTATCATTTCCAGCTCCCTCCTGTGGCTCAGGCTTCCTACTCAAAACTGACATTATTGCTGCCTTTTTTTGGTGATATTCTGGAGTAAATAAAATCACCTTATAAAGTTGTGTGTGTGTGTGTGTATGTATACATATCAAAAGTTTGTTTCTTGATTAAGAAAAGGCATAGAGCTACCATATTTTAGGTAGGTAATGTAGATCTTTTGAGATGAAAAGAAACAGTGAATAAGCCTCTTTGTGTGACAATGTTAAATTAAGATTTTAGCATATTCATCACCTACAACTTTAAAAGTATCTTGCATTTATCATAGCTGATTTTCTCACAAATTGATGTCAAAGGGAAATTTATGGTCCCCTAAGCAAAGTTTGTTAAGAACCAATTATCCTTTCAAGGAAAACTGGAAGTTTGATTATCTTTAGCAGCATGATATCCTTTTCATTCTTCAATCTGCACTGAGAAAGACTTGAAATGCATGTTTCCCTTTATTTTTATGGTTTAACTTGGCATGTGATTAATATTTTATGCTGAATAAATAGCTCTAAATAAAATTAACCTTACATCTATTAATTTGTTGATTGCTATTACTTTTTTACACTGACATCATTCATAATGTGAATGCAAAAGTATAAACACGGGAACATTGAGGAAATCTGCATGACATTGTATAATTATATCACATTCAGTTATGACACTCTAACACAAGTAATGGTTCTCCTTATATTCTAGCAACTTTGCTTTGTATTCCCCGCCACAACTTTCCCAGATATACACAGCCCTTGATATGTGATTTTCAGGGTCGCCTAATCTATAACAAATTAGCAGGCATATAGAGGTGGAAATGGAAAAAAATGTTTCACTGATGAATGCAATTTCATAGTAGATACTGGAATCTGTGCAGATTGTTATGTAATATATAATAAAGCTGTATAGCCCTTGGCTACATTACCACTAAGGCCAATTTAGATTCTTTCAAAAACAGTTTGCTGCTTTCCCAAAAGGCTGTTCAACTAGTTCATACTGTCAGGAAATCCTGCCCAATTGTGAGGGGCATTGGCAGTTAAGTACTTCTTTACTTTGTGTGACTCTTCTTCACTCAAATCAAAATAAAGCAGAGAGATAAAATGGAAAATGTTTTCAAGTTAAATATATGAATTGAGATTAAAGTTGACATTTTTTTTGTTTCAGGTTTCATTTTTCATTGAAATGGGGAGAATAGTTATGGTATTCTATTTAAATCTTACCAAATAATGATGCAACAAGGAAAATATTGAACTGGCTCAATTCTTTCTTGTTTGGCAGTAGTCAGTGACAGTGCGTGACTGATAGAAAACAAGTGAGATAGTTTGAACAATATATCTGGCAATCCAGCAATCAACATTCAGAAGGCTCACTGCCGTGCAAAGCACATACTGTAAGCCAGCAAAAGAGTAGGAAAACAGGGAAAAAGTAAGAAACTTTAAAGCTCACATTTCCATTCTGCCAGAAAACAATGTTCAAAAGAAGAGGTGAAATTGATGCAGGGTGAAACTTTGAAGGAATTTTAAAACATAGAAGATCAGAATGATGATTTCAGTATTATGAGGAATGGAAGCAGGAGATTGGCTATTTTGTTTTATTTTATTATTTATTACACATTACATTTATATCTTCAAGTTTAGTCAGACTTCCAAGGATCAGGGGGAAAAAGTAAGAATTAAAAGCAACAGTGACAACATAATGCAATGTTTTGTTTATGTATAGCCAACCTTTATTTCTTTCATAAATAATTAAAGATAGTCATTATAACACTTGACCACATACTAACATACCTCACAACCCTCAAATGCCCATTCTCAAGTAATATTGTTTTCACCAAAATGGGAAAATACAAGAGTAGATACTTACGTAAGATGATTTTATTTACTCCAGAATATCACCAAAAAAGGCAGTAATAATCTCAGTTCTGAGTAGGAAGCCTGAAGTGAAGTGAGCCACAACAGGGGGCCGGAAGTGATAGGAAATATTAAATGATCTGCTTGCCAATTGAAAGACTGCTGAATACCACCTCTGCTAATGGCATCTTACAATGATCTCCAAAAGGAGGGAAAAAAACCCCATAAGACTATGGAACTTTTTTCCAACATCTAATAAACAGAAAGCCTCATTTTTCCCAGAAATCCAGGAATGCTGTTCCATAGACTCAGTTCTTAGCTTCCTTCCACCTTCTTTTTACCAAAGACCTGCTTGCAGTTTTCAAAAGAGCAAAAGTGCTTTCACATGGAGAGGAAGGAACAGAGGCAAATCTCTTTTTCTGCAACATGCTTAAGTAAGCATCTCTCCTTTTGCCAAGATGATCCTGCTTGAGGCAGAAGGATATATCTTCCCTGTCTCTGAAGCACTTATTTCTATGAATAACAACACAAACAGCAAGTTAAAAAGGAAAGATGGGAGTTTGTTAATAAATACACCTGAAAGAAATGGGATGCTTATTTTAAATTTGCATAAAGATGTAAGAAGACTGTTTTTTTGTATTGTATAATCCCCTCTTTTTTACATTACATTTTTAAGCAATGCATATTTTGCTGGAACAAATATAATTGGTATGACTGCAGCCTGGAAGGTAAGAGGTAAAAAAAAACAACCCTAATTTTTTTTCACTACTGTATCACAAATTATAGCATCAAACTTAATGTACTATATTTTGTCATCAATAACAGTGAAGTGTCACAGTTTTGGGAACATTAATTTCAGAGATGACTTTGACTTTATTCTTAAAATACAAGCATCATGATAAGTTTGTTCTATCCTGTTGTATCCACTAGAAACTTCTGATGACAAACATGCAGTGCAGTTCTTTTTAATATAGTTGATTTTTGTGGTGTTTATATTGAAAGACAAATACAAGCCAAAGAGACACTCTGGTTTTCAAACAACCCAGAATTAATTAGTTCAGATTTCTTATTGATTGATCAAGATAGATAGTAGGAAGTATATGGTTTGGTTCTTGTTCTGCCAGCTATTTGTGTTGCCTTGACATCCTTATTGACACCCTTGAAATGCTTTCAATTGCTCTAAAAATACTTTATTCCTTGATGTGAGAACTTATTAGCTATAAGACAAACTGAAGACTCAGTTTGCAAATTCAAGGAATTCTCTACCATAATGTTATCTAATTCAGACATGGCTCTAAGATCAGCTGTTTTCCTTCTGTTTTCCCCATCCCTTTCTAAGCATCTTGCATCCTCAAGAACTTTGAAATCTTGAAAGTTTGCAACAATCCTCAGCTGGTGATATGCATTTTACATTTTCCCCCTGATGGCAGAATACAGCAACTCTTGCATTTTAAAGAGTATAATTTAAGCTCCAGTAATGTATGAAAGTATAACATGTTTTTCATCAAACACTTCCTAATATAGAAATCAGACAGTCATGAAATCTAATAATATTGAGATTCATTGAAAGAATAATGTCATTAGAAACATGCTTGGTAAGCATCTTCTCCATGAATAGTATCAGTAGTCACTAACTCTGAGAGATAGTGTTACTAGTATCTCCTTGATTGTATTAAATGTTTTTTTATTTCAATATAGTCATTTTATTAATAATTCATTTTAATTTAGCTTCAAGAATGGGTCAGTCACTTTCAGATGGGCTATGCTAGGGGACTGATGTTATTCCTTAGATTCATTCCAAGATGTGTAAAATGAGGACCCAGATTGTTGGGGGAATAGACTGGCTCTGTAAACTAGTTATAGAGGGCTATAAAGCCCTATTGAGGTTAGTGAAATATCTGAGATTTTCTGAGTATCTGATTATTCTAATGGACCAGATGAGAGATAATGCATTGTAATTTAATTCAGATAAAATAGAGATTATTTAGTCAAGAATTGGACCTAGAATACAATTTCAGTATGTTCAGGGTAGAATAGTATTCTTCCTGAAAAATAAGTGTCAACCAAAGATGATGTGGTCAAACGAGATCTGACTTGGTTATGGTACCAGTTATAGATTGACTAGCTACATTTAAAATGGAATAATAAAGTGTACTTTTAATGGATAATTTATTCATCCATTCAGGTGCCTAATCCTTCTATGAATTTGTAGAATATCAGTCATGTAACTCCAATTGCAATACCCAGTTCCTTTAGAAAAGGCTGTCTTTTGCTTCTGCCTGATTTATAGTTTTTGTTTAAGTGTTCATGTAATTTGTTTTAATGTATTTTCAGCATGGTTTTTGTTTTGTCTGTTAACTAAAGTAATTTTTATAACAATTCCAAATATTGCACATATGCAGCAGAACAAGAGGGCAGCCTTCCAGGAATGGAGTTGAATGTCCCTAGCTTATAATTGTTACAGAACAATTTGGCAAAATTTCTCCAAAGAAACAATTGTCATATGTTTCATGTACATGGGCACCCTCACATTCCATGGAGATTATTGGAAATTAAGCCCAGAGAGCTGGAAATCAAACCAAATGTGTTTTATGTGTAGATAATGTTATTTTCAACTCATTCACTAAGTTTTTGTTTGCTCTTTGACTGCAGGAATGACTTGTCAAGCCAGAACATCATACACAGAAGATGAAGTTCTCTGGGGTCATCGTTTTTTCCCCGTTATTTCCTTAGAAGAAGGCTTTTTCAAAGTAGACTACTCCCAGTTCCATGCAACCTTTGAAGTTCCTACTCCACCTTACAGTGTGAAAGAACAGGAAGAAATGCTGCTTATGTCCTCCCCTTTAATAGCACCAGCTGTAGGTAACAGTAAAGAAAGGAATAATTCTATAGAATGTCTAGATGGCCTTGATGACATTGGTACAAAGATACCCTCCAAACTACAGAAAATGACTGGAAGAGAAGACTTTCCTAAAAAACTGTTGAGAATGAGTTCTACTACTTCAGAAAAAGCCTACAGCATGGGGGATCTCCCTATGAAACTTCAGCGAATAAGTTCTGTCCCTGGAAACTCAGAGGAGAAACTGATATCTAAGACCACGAAAATGTTATCAGACCCTATGAGCCAATCTATTTCAGACTTGCCACCAAAACTTCAAAGGTTATCCGGAGGAGGAGGAGGAGGCAGAATGGATGGAAACCTTCCCCCAAAGCTGAGAAAAATGAATTCCGATCGGTTTACATAACAGGAACAAACTTTTTAGGCATTACTTGAATGGCCATTATATCTAACTGGGGCAGAAAAGTAAACACATTGAAATAATATTTGGTGACTGGGTTTCTTTACAGCTACATGTACTCTGGGATAATACTCTCCCTTTTTAAGGACTACAATAAGAGATCTGAAGTTCAGCTTAGGGTCACTTTGAAAACTAATAAGCTAATACTATTTGGCATGTAGTATCATCACAAGCATGCAATAATAGTGTGCAAATTTTGCATATAGTTTTATGGCATGGTTCTTATTATATTTATACTGTATATTCTGGGAAAAATGTAAATGGAGTGTTAATTCTCCTATATTTCTTAAGCTTTGATTAATAAGTACAAACAAAAGTGAGCTACTAACAGGGCAGATTATAATTTATAAGGACACAAAATCCAGCAAAAGATGAACATTTCAGGCATGAGCATGTGCCCATTGCATCCTCCATTTCCTTCAAAAAGATGGGGAGTTTTCTGCTGAAACATCTCCCGCTCACTCAGTAGCAGCAGCAGCTCTCATGAGAGTAAGGAAACCTGCAAGAGAAGACTATACATAAATAAGAAACTGAATCAGATCTTTGGTTAATCTTTAAATACATATTTAATTACTTTCCAGTCAATACAGTTAAGTGTGTATGTTGGCTGAATCATGCCCATTTTTTTTCCTGATGTAAATTGTGTTGTTTTCTTCAGACAGTTACAGTGCATGTTTTCTTTGTTCAAATAAGGCTACAGCTATTAAGAATTCTGAACACCAAAACTTTTAACCCTTTAAGCTTTTTTTTTTTTTTTTTGCTTTAACACTTTCCCCAGTTTATTTTGCTATATGGATACTCTATTTTTTCTTTACAAAATAGTCAATTCTGGTTAGAAGCAGGCAAAATACATGGCAGGCAGAGTTCTATTTTAGGCAGAGGTCATAAAATCAAGAAAGTTATTGTGATACATAGTTGTTTCATTTTCATTAAAATAAGTATGAAATAAACTTCAACATGGAAATATTTTCTTGACTTATTACACTAATGGCTTACTCTGATTTTTCATGCATCAAGTAAATTCCTTTCTTCATATTAACTCTTTATATCCATATTCATCCTACAGTAAAGTTAGATTCAGATAACCCAGGGCCTCAAAAGCTTACTGTGAAAGTTGTGTAATCCCTTGTGAAGTGCTTTTTGGAAATCTGTAAGCACAGATAGGTTCAAAGCTATTCATAACTTCTTAGAAATCAAAGACCTCTGGAGTAGTCATCTCAGCAGTTATTATAAGGTTCCTGATTATTGGAAATTAACTTGCAGATTATTTTATGACAATAGCATTTGTTAGGGTCTGCAGCTTCATTAATGAAAAGATTTTTTTTCTCCACAGTACAAGCAGCCTAATCATCAATGCACTCTTGCCTAAGTCCTCCTTAGCCGTAAGAAGGCAAATAAAGATAATTTATAACAGTACCTACTATGCATTATCAGAAACTGATGTACAAAAAGGATTAAAAGGTGCATTTGCATGCCAAGGTTGCACTTCCCTTGCAAAATAGGAAAACACATCACGGGTAAAAGGCACAAAGGGCCATATTGTAACTCAGAGCAGGCAGTTCTACTGTTGTTGCATTATTATGCTACTCGTTTTTGCTTCTACATGCCACTGAATCAACCAAAATGATATTAAACAATCAGGAAGAGAGAAAGATAACTCTACATTATAAATAGCCAAATGGCTGAGGTAGATCTATATCTGTATCTTGTTTTCCAAGGTTATTTCCAGCTATTACATCCAAAAAAAATGTAACTTACATTCAAAGGCATCCAGAAGCCGCTACAGTGGATTAATAAAGAAGGGAAGCCTTATGACTACCTTCATCAGAATTTAACTATAAGGATCAGTGAGATTGGGGGGGGGGGGGGGGGGGAGGAGATACAATTTAGCAGTAAAAATGCAACCCTTCTCCTTTTTGGCTATTTTAGCCATCACAGATTTAGAATCCTGATGATTCTTTTGTGAAATTCCTATAAGCATAGTCCAAAAGAGTACCAAAAAATCTAGAAATATATGATCTAAGTACAATCTCACTGCACAAAAACAAGAGTCACAGTCCTAATAATAAGATTACTTATAGTAATCAGAGTAACACACACACACACACACACACACACACAGCCTATAATTTGTTTACAGTGTGCTACACACACACAAGACATCAGGGATCAAGGAGTATCATTGCCAGAGGTGCCTATAGGGTAGGAAAAATTGGCTTTAATTAAGTTGGCTTAATTATAGAAATTGTGTTACATGCTACAGGAAAGGATAAATATAGGGAAGATTTCTTCTAAATAAGTGAAAACCAAGCATCCAAAGCAATGACGATCGATAAACCTCAGAGCAGAACCACTCTCATTGTGTAACACAAAACCTTCAGCAAGAAACCAAGATACTTTAGGTGATTCCAAGAGCTTGTGTGCTCCCAGAAGAGTATTTGACCTTTTTTCCCCCTTTTCTGTTAGAAACTGCTTCCTAGGCCATATCAGAAACCACTTCTGCATATGCCATAATATGCATATGCCATAATAATTTGAAATAGGGAACTGTTCAATGAAAAAGTCCAACATTCCCTTGAGAGTTTAATGCTAGTTGTGCTATTCTTTAGACCTTAATCAGACTTTCTAACTTGGACCCTTGGGTTGAATTACAGTTCTAAAACCAGCTTAATCAGTTAATGCCTGGAAGATGGAAATCTGGCCTTAGACCTTTTTTCTTTTGCCATGAAGCGAAGCCAGAAAGAAAAAAAAATGCAGAAATTGATGAAGCCTGCACCATTTCAGTGTTTGAACCACAAATGTTAATAATTCAAGCTTTCACGACCGGCATCAATCCAATGGGGCCAAGCTTCTGAGCTAATAAGCCATGACGAATTATCTGGTATACTGACATTTCACCAGCAATAATGGCTGGTATCTTCAGAGGCAAAGTGATCACAGGCAACTGAGCAGAAACTGACAGAACTCTTGTATTTGGAACAGAAGTAATCTCTAATTGGATAATGTCACTGGAAAGCCAGTTTCTGATTGGTTCTTTATACAAGCGAATTTGTAATTGGTCTGATTTTAACAAGTTCCAAAGGGGCTAATTTTTTTATTGGTCTGTCTGAAACCAGCTACTGCTTATAATTATTATTTCAGGTAAGACCGATGAAGATTCTATAAAGTGTGGTTAATCAAGGGCTTTTTTTTTTAGGGTGACATAAAACTAGAAACCAGGTTTTGTTAACATTCAGACTTTCTTGTTAACCTTGGAGTGTTTATAAATCTCAATAGCTTCTCTCTCTGTAGTTGTGCATGACAATTTGACATGATTGCTATTACTTGTGTGTCTTTAAATTGAATCTATGCCCATTATGTAGCAGTGAGTGTTCAGCTACCATTGATTTTCAAGTTGTAACATTTCTCATGTTCTTTTAGTTGAATTTTTTTTAGTTCCAATACATACCTGTGTACAACTGCAAAGTTTGTAACAAAACCCCGATGATGAAAGATGACCTGCCATCCTTAAACAAATGAATAATTTATTGAATTTTTCACATTGGTTTGTAGATAGTTTCTAAGTTGTATTTCTCCAGTAATGTTCAGTTTGGTTTGTAATTTTCTCAATAAAAGGAGAACCACCTTTCCTACTCTGGGTATAGTTTGTCCTTTGATGTATATGTGAAGCTGTTTTTATTGTTGGATTGTATCACTTGTGTAATCTCACCATCAGAGGAACCATTAGCTAATAAAATCAGCATATCTCAACTCATCCAATAATCTTTTCAAGCTCACAAATAAGTCAAGTATGATCAGTGAGAGTTTTAATCCTATTTTGATTAAAGTTTGAGGAGATGGTGGTTAGAATTAATAGTGAATTACATAGAATTAACATCAAATGCATGTTGGTTTTTAGTATACTGTATGTCCAAATTGTTGGGTTTTGTTATGATTAGAACATCCAAGAATATAAGTTGGCCATTCTTCTCTTTTATCATAAATCAAATATTTTAGTGGACACAATTCAGATGCTCTAGAAATTTCCTGAGTTCTTCCTCACTATAACTCCAGATCGCAAAAAAAGTTGTCCACATACGGTTTTAAAGGTGCAGGGTTCAAATTTCTGAATGTAGAAATTATAGCAACTAAACTCAGTGGGCAACCTATGTCAGCCCATTTAATTTGCTCAGAGAATTTGATGTTCCTCTGGAAATAACTGCCAGTTAGGTAACGATGGAATAAATTGGTAAAGTCTTTGGAGAAGATTTTCTTAATATACACAGTACTGATGTTTCCTTAATCAGCAACTTTCTAAAAAGTAAAAAACACATCAAAACTGATCAGTACTTTACTTTGTCTAAGGCCAAGCTTATTTATTTCTCAATGAAATAGGGTTGAATCCTTAATATATGTTGACATGCGTCCACTACAAGACTGTAAAAGTGCAGTTAAGTGTTTTGCCATAAGACATGAGCTGTTGGATTACATTTAAGTTTTTATGAGTTGCCTAGTGTAAGAGATCCTGAAGATTGTTCTGACAGTCTTTCACATTCATAATCACTGTAGCATTTCCTTTATCTGCTGGCAGAATAATTATCCTCTCTTGTGCATTATGATTGTTTAAAGGAACATGTTTCTCCCATTATCAATATACTGGCGGGTGTGTGTGTGTGATATCTCTTTAAAATTTGACCAGTCTTATGTCTCATTTCTTCTATAGCAGTGTTTCTCAACATTAAGATCTGGAGACTTCAGCTCCCAGAATTCCCCTGGCCAGCATGAACCTAAAAGCATGCTGGCTGGGGGAATTCTGGGAACTGAAGTCCATGCATCTTAATGTTACAAAGGGTGAGAAAGACTATTCCACAGAAACCAACCTCTCATGACTAGTGAGTGGGTGATTGGAGAGTTAATGATTGTACAGGTAGTCCTTGACTTACAACAGTTCATTTAGTGGCCGTTCAAAGTTACAACAGCAATGAAAAGAGTGAGTTGTGACTGTTTTTCACACTTACAACCATTGCAACATCCCCATGGTCACGTGATTAAAATTCAGACGCTTGGCAACTGACTCCTATTTATGATGGTTGCTATGTCCCGGGGTCACATGAT